GGGGTGGGGGTGGGGGTGGGCGGGTCTGTGTAGGTTCTGTTTCTCTCACCATCAACTGAACATGTGTTTCTCACTTGGGTTTGGTAGCTCACCGATCATTGAGACGTGGTAAGTCATACAACATAACATATGTTTAACTTAGTGTAAAAACCTCATTCATGAGCACACGTCTGTGTACACATGCACCACAAACTAACCCCCACATCTGTGTCCTCCTCTCCTCCACCTGTTGTCAGACCTGCTTTAAGTAGCATTTGCTGTTTGTTTGAACCTGTTTCAAAAAAAAAAAAAAAACTGTGGTTCTTCTTCATGTTGGGGGCGAAAGATTCCCAGAAAGTTAATTCATGTGTTTGTTACTGTACAGGACACAAGCTGATGTTTTTCTTCCTGTCAGCAAATCCCACAAAAAGAGCAAAACCAACATCATGTTAATCCCCGTTTCAACACTTCCTGACCTCCTGATCGTCTCTGTGGCACGCAGCCCCGAGCCCATTGATTTCTGCTGCAGACATAAAGCTTCACAAATATTAGTTTGAAAAAAGAAAAAAAGATGCAAGTCATTTCCTAAAACAGCTGGGCAAAGTAGTTACTCGAACAGAAGTAAATATTGTCTCTGTTTCCATTGGACAGACAGTCGACCGATCAGAGCTTTGAAGCTGAGAAAGTAAAAATGGAGACGTCACCTCCCTTAAAGACTAGCTTGCGAATTCCCTAAAAAATCACGACTTTAACCCTGAAAGTTACGTATTTTTCAGATGTCGTAAAAACAACGTTAACTGCTCCTATAGCAACTGAAAATGGGGTCAGCATCATAGATTGTAAATAAAGGTGGACGTAGTCTCCATGACGTAACACACAGGTTTCTGAAGCTCAGAGTGAGCGGCTCCACCGTTGCCATCTTGGCAGTGTCTGACTCCGCCCCTAACTCCCAGTTAATCCAAAAATGGACAAAGAGGAGGGGCGTGTGTGGAGCTGAGACTTTGGTGCAAGAATACGCTCACCCACCTCTCACTCAAAGAGGCCACGCCCTCAATCCTCCATAACTGTAGTCCTTAATAAAATGTAAACAGGTGAGTTTTATAAACAGGTGTCATGAAGGAGGAAATTAGCTCTAGAGATCAAAACAGTTTCTGTACCAGGCTGTAAACATGTTAATTTCTGCTGTGAAGTTGGACATTTTAACATGGGAGTCTATGGGGACTGACTCACTGTTGGAGCCAGACTCTAGTGGTCATTAGAGGAACTGCAGCTTCTGTTTCTTGGACAGGTTTATATGAGACCGACTCAAAACGAATTACAGTATTAGTGTAAGACCTTGTCGTCCAGGTAACACGTGTTGGTTTGATGTTTTCGTGGGATTTATTAACAGTAAGAAAATATAGATTATCATCAGCTTTACCCTTTAAAACAACTTGCAAAGACTATTTGAGTCAGGTCTGTGTGGTCGTACTGTCCGTTGTGATGAAGCAGTAAAATGTGTTTGCTATGGAGATAGCTAACAGCATGCCACAGTCCGAGTCGATTCTCCCCTTATTGATGCAGTGTGGCAGACAGTCCACTCACAGTTCATCCACATCCTCCGAACGCCCCCCCTGCAGCTCCCAGGGCCCCCTGCTGTCGCCCCGGCCCTGCTGCCACTCCTCCGACCTGCTCTCTTCAAGCTCCCCTTCTCTTCTAACCCCCTCCACCCTTTAGATTCTCTTATCTCTATCTCTTCCCCTTCCTTCTCCCCATCCTGCAGCAGTTACTAAAGCCCCCTATTTTTAACTGTCAATTGGAGACCGGTCTGGAGCCGCACCCATGCCCGCTGCTCTGCACTGCGTGACGGACTCACGGCTCGCAGGGGGAAAGTGAGATAGAGCGGGAGTGAGGAGGAAAATGAGAGAAAGGGGAATACTGAATAGACAAGAAAGAATTAGGGAGCGAGGGAAAGTGGGTGGCAGCATGGCTGGACAGATAAGATTGACAGAGCGAGGAGGACGGCGGTGAATGGGACTGACTGCGGATGTTTGTGTACGTGCATGTGTGAGAGAGGGAGATAAAGAGGAAGACTAGAGTGAGAGTAAAAGAGGGCTCTGGTCCAGTCACCGCCCCGTGTGTTTTCCTGGCACCATATCACATCGCATCAACGACAGCCAGTCCAGATATTGCTCGCCATTGAGAGAGCTAACGTCCCAGATCACATCACAGCACTGTCACGAGCGGGGGTCACTCTCTGCACACATCTCTGTTGTTTGGTGTGTTGTCTCTCTCTCTCTCTCTCTCTTTTCTTTTTCCCTTTCCTTTTTGTGGACCGCTGTTTCACCTCGTCAAACCGCCACGTTACCTGTCAACTCAGTCCCACACCAAATGCTCACCGAGTGCCTGATGTCACCACCTACGCCCCCCCCCTCCCCTTCCCCATCACTGTCACCAGCAAGTTGGAGTTTTAGATATGCAACCATTTCTCAAAGGCAGACTCCCCAACCGCCCCTCACAACACATTCCTGACTATCCAAACGTTATTTTATATTTTTTATTCACATTTTCTGTAAATTCTCTGATGCGTCTGAAGTCTGTTGCTAGGATCCCTTTTCTGGTGGGGGTGGGGGGGCGCACCGAGTCCCCTTTGAATTTAGTTTCTGGTCTAAAAGTGAATAATTCGACTCTGGGGTCGGATCGTGTTAACGAGGTTCATTGTGGAAACAGTTCCAGGAAAACAAATCTCCTGTCACGTCTTTAGTCTTCAAGAAACATCAAGTTCAAACTAATTCATTCAAATGAATCTGAATAGGACCCAGACTCCTTAACTACACTGCAGAGTTAATGTTGTGGAGCATCGGTTCGACAGACGCATCACTCTGCAGACGTTCACTGATCCCGCTTTCTCTATGTGTTGTTGAATTCAAATTCAATTCTCGACTCCTGTCCCCAGTTGAGCTTTTACCTGCGTAATGTCATTAAATCAGTCAGTAAAAACAACAGTGAAAACTGCAGTTAGCCAAAAATATAAAGACGTTCAGTCTGAAAAGAGACAACAAGCAGACAAATGGTCAAAACAGACAATTAACAATAGACAGAGTTTGTGATTTGAATGAATGAAGCCTCACTGGAAACATCCATTCAGAGGAGAAGCTGGCAGAGGTCAGAGGTTAAAGCTAAGCTAACAGGCTAGGCTATGAAAACGTAGCTAAGCTAACTGTTTCTGAAACAGTAGAAAATTTGCTACTGCAAATTTAAGGTGGAATGTTTTCTTGCGTGTTAGTACACCTTAAATGGCAATACGACAACTTTGAGCACTCACATTTGTTTTATTGGCTCTCTTGCTTTAGTGATAATTGGATCTTGAAGCGCTTAAAAATATATACGAATTTGACCCAGATTCATGTGTGTGTGAACGGAGAGCGCTCACATTACGTCATGATCATCCACTCTGAGCAAACACAACAGCAGCAGTGCAGTTCACTGACAGGGAAACAGAGTAGGACAACCGTGTTTCCAGGAGGCTGCAGGTTGCAGCCCGTTGCCTTCACAGTCTCAATTCTTAGATTGAACAGAACCAAATTTGTATTTTTATACCAGTAATGAACTCCTCAAATTCAAGGAACTCATTAAAAATAATGTCTGCAAAAGATAGTCTGATGAAACGCTACTGAACCATTAAAAAACATCAACACCAGCCTTTAAAAAAAAAAAACCTCATGTTTATGTGTGTTTGTACGGAAGTAAATTTCTTCTCAGGTCATTACAACCCCCAAATTCCCAGAGACAACACCAAGGGCATGTGTGATGCGTCCTGAGCGGCTCCCGCCCTGGCAACAAGAATAAATTATCCACCTCTCGCTGCTCAGCACAATAAACACTCTGACTCTGAACCGCTGAGATGATTTCACCGATCGGTTCAGAGCACCTCTGCCTGCAGGAAATATTTGTACAGCTAAAACTCCAGCTCAGTCTTCCCTCCTCTACCTCAGCAGGTGGTCTCCCATGATGCCTTGGGTTTCGTCCTTGAATTTTATTTATTTATTTATTTCTTTTCTTGTGGGGTTGGGTGGATCGGGGAGGGTGGGGGTGGGGGGTTAGGCTTAAGCCAGCCTGCCCATTTTTTTTTCCTCTTCCCTCTTCTGTGTGTGTATATGTGTGTATGTGTCTCCAGAAAACAATCGGATAAGCGGCATCCTGACGTCGCAGACGGAGCCCTACGACCTGTCTTTCTCACGCTCCTTCCAGAGCCTGTCTCACCTGCCGCCCTCCTACGAGGCGGCCGTCAAGGCCGACCTCAGCCGCTTCTCGTCTCTGAAGAAACTCAGTAGGTCCAAGTTCACTGCACTAACGCAACAGTAGGCTCCCTGCCCTGATGCCCTGCATGATAAAATCTACTGCATTGAGTGTGCTTTCCTGACTCCTGACTGGGACGCACTGAGCCGCTCCGAAGTGTTTCAGCTGTGAATTTGATTTGCCTGCTGCACTGAGGACATCTAACATCTAACATCTAACATCTAACAGAGACAAACAAACAAAACAAAACAAAACAAAACAAAAACAAAAAAAAAGTGTGAGCACGCATTTTTCTGGAGATTTTTTTGCAGCTCCTCATTGAGTAAAGATTTCAGTGGATGGAGAGGAGAGCGGCCTTGAATCAGAATCAGAAAACAGCCGTTCCCCAGCTCTGATGCTTCATGAAATCAGCCTAGTCATCTCAAGCAACTATGAGTCATTGATATTCCACGCTTCCCTTGTCTCCACTTAAAGGCCGCAGCCACTATTTCTCTTGGAGCGTATAAGTACATTAAGTGGCTTCTTGTGCCCGGCCCGGCTCGGTATTGATTTAGTGGTGCTACGCTGGATTTCTGCTGCGTAATGAGGTCTCATCTCATGATATTCTCTAAGTGGAACGCAAATATTCCTTAAGGCTTGTGTAATTTCATCATGACTGCCCCACTTCACTGCTGGCTTGCAGTCAAAGTGAAGGATGACGATCTACAACTCATCCCGTCAGGGCTCGCTCCACACTGGCTCCCTCTCAGCGCTGCCGGGCGCCGTTTCAAACTGAATGGGCGAAAACAGGTTTGCAGGATGCGGAGCTATTTACTGATGCTCAGAGAGAAAGAAAGAAAAGAGAGAAAAACAAATCTTTCTTTTAATTGAAGCATGCTTGTGACAATTAACATAAGAGTTGTTGATAGGCGGTAAAACAAAACCACACTGAATTCAATTGTCAAAGATAGTAGCCCACAGAAGAGACAGTGTTAAGATGAGAAAAACATCCTCAGGCGGCGTCCTTCAGTCTTCCCAACTTTCTTTCTGCTTCCAAAGCAAATTATTTGCTGCAGCAAATCGCCAACAGGCTCTGCAGTTTTCTTTTTTGTTGCTCAACTAGTGTCGGCACGCTGATAGATCATGTTGGATTGTGCTGGGAGGAAGATAGAGCAGCGTTCTCATTGTCGGGACAATAAAAGAGAAGAATGCTGCTGCTTATTAATGCAAATTGGTATCAAACTGAAGAAAAGCGTTTGGCCCGTTGCAGTGCAGGACAGTATACATCACGAGTTATTCATTCACTCTATGGTAATATGGTTGATGAGTTTGCAGTGGCCCTGCCCAGATCTTCAGGACTATTATGCTTGAGAAAGGAACATCTTGTTTTTATTATCTCTCATAATGAATCGATTTGTGGCGAGCACCCGTGGCTCGCCGCTGAAGGGGATTTTGGCTGAGTGTAATCTTGACAGGTGGCGTGAACGCTGCTGTACCCATTATTGCAAAAGACAGGCTCAGGCTCAGAGTCATCTCCGAATTGTTAATAAGGTGGAGAGGCCTGCTCTCCTTCATTCATATCCACCAATAAAGAATTACCTTCTTGTTAACAATGGACTTGTAATTGAATTTTTCCATTTTTGAATGTTTTATGCTGCATTTCGTCTCTTTGACAGGAAGTCTGAGAGGCTTTTGTCGATGTGCGTCACTCTGTGTGTGTGTGTGTCCGTGTGTGTGTGTGTGTGTGTCCTTATGCATGGGTTTGTGTTGTGTAGCATGAAATTGATGCTACATTCACTCCTACACTCCTCGTGTCTCTGGAGATGTGTTCTTGTTGTCCGGATGCATGTTGTCGTCGTCTGTGAACACAGATCAGAGTAAAACACCCGCTGCAGGACGTTCACTCACTCGCAGCCCGTTCTCGGTGTGATGTGATCGTGCGACGACACGATGAGCTTTTCCAGCATGTCTGTCCAGTCTGAGGTGCCTGCGTGCTTCGCTCCGTATCTGTATGATATGACCATGTTTGTTTTATAGACTTTCACATGACCTTTGAAAAGTTTGCTCCCACAGCCGGCGCCGCCCGTAGAATCCCAGATGAAGCCTGGATGTGTGGATGCTGTGTGCCTGGCATGTAATACGCTGTGATCCTCTGCCTCTCTCCATTTTCTATTCCCCTCCATGAGCGTGGAAAGGTGAAACAGACGGGTCCGCCGGCACCACTCCGCCCTCTGCATTGTGCTCAGTCCCACTTTATCCGATTCCTCTCCCCCCTCTCTGAATCCGCTCTTCACCTCCTGCTTCTGTTTGTGTTTGTGTTTTTTATTCTCGTCTTCTCAGCAGCAGATAAAGACGTCGACGAATACTACACTCGTAAGCGCCACCTGCCCGACCTCGCAGCGAGAGGCACTCTTCCCTTGCATGTTCTCAAAATGAGTCAGGACCAGGTGGGTACTCCAGCGCCGGGTTTAAACCAGCTCGTGTTCTTTTGCCGTTTCTGCTTCAGATTATGAGAGCGATCTGTGAGTCTCCACCTCCTCACCTCCTTCCTCTTCTGCTCCACAGCACCGGGACCAGCCGCAGCAGCACCAGAGCCAGGCGCCGTCGTCCTCCATCTCCCAGGCCCCGCCCCAGTCGCAGTCGTCACAGCAGCAGTCTCAGCAAAGGCAGAGGCCACGGCGCGTCCAGAGGGCCATGTCCCAGGACCGGGTCCTGTCCCCGCAGAGGGTCCCGCAGCAGGAGTACAGCATGTCCTCTAACGGCATGTCCCCGTACGGCGGCAGGATCCTCTCCGATGAACAGCTGCTGTCCGCCGAGCGCCTCCGGTCCCAGGAGCGCCTGCTTCCACAGGACCGCCACACCTCCCAGGACCGCTTGTACTCCAAGGACCGCATGTACTCTAAGGACCGCCTCCTGTCGCAGGATCACCTCTACTCAAAAGACCGGCACTACTCTCAAGACCGCCTCTATTCACAAGAGCGCCTGTACTCACAAGATCGCCTCCTGTCCCAGGATCCTCTGCTCTCACCGGACAAGCTGATGATGTCTTTGAAGCGCGGGATGGTCAGCAGCATCTCTGGTGGGTTTCGTGGCAGCGACAAGTCGATATCACGCGCCATCTCGCACACAGACGTGTTCATACCGACCACGCCTCTAATGGATCGTTACAAGATGACCAAAATGCACTCCCATCCCAGTGCCTCTAACAATGGCGGCGGTGGCGGGGCACAGGGAGGAGGAGGAGGAGGAGGAGGAGGAGCAGGAGCAGGAGGAGGCACCGGGCACTCCAACACTTTAGCCATGAACCAGACAGCATCTAAGAGGCAGGCGTTTGCCTCCAGACGGACTCACACTGTAGAACAGCTCCACTACATCCCACAGCACCACCAGCAGCAACAACAGCCACAGCACTACCGCACAGGCAGCAAGACTGAGGTGATGTGTTAACGCCGGCCGGGGGGAGGGGAGGGAGAGGAGCACTGTAGTGTGCGGGGGGGGGGGGGGGGGGGGGGGGGGGACGTGGGTATGCCTGGCGTTTGTTTTCGAGTAGGATGGTGGTGAGATCCCAGGACCAAGAACATCCACTAGCTTACTGAGAGAGACCGGAAACACAATCCACACTGTACACCGCATACACCCGCCGCCCTGCTGCACCTGACGCCAGAGAGCGCCGCCGATGGGGGAGGAGTGGTATTATCCAGCTAACTTGCCTACTATTAATTCCACTGTCTTGGTTCCCCCAATCATCCACAGGCCGCGGCCTCATTCTGTGTCTGTGTTAGTGAGAAAACACCGATCGTGTCTGTTGAAGCCTCCATCAGCCCCGACATCCGTCCAACAGCACATCTCCTCTGTGACCTTTCCTGGCAAATCTTAAAGGGCTTTGCATGGTTAAACACAAAGACCGACTCCTCCGTGACTTCTGTTGTGCAACACAACGCCACCAACAAGTGATGAACCAGGATGAGCCTGTAACAACTTTATAAATATATAAATAAATGAATAAAAACCAACCATTTGTATACCCCCGTCCTACTCATAGCTCTGATCTCAATGAGAGAAACTGAAATGGATGTTATCAGCACTTCTATTCGGTGCCTCCTTCCATTTCTAAAGACGAAGTGGTTTTGTGGGTTACAAAGCACAATCAATAAAAAGATATTCTGTTCTGTTTTTGATTCTGTTTCTGAGTTTGAATAGTGACGGCTAGCTTGTTTTGTTCTTAAAGCAACGACGGGTTTTTTTGCTTCCAGTAGACGATTGTAAATAAGCTATTTTAGAAGCAGTACCATGGACAAGTCTGTACTGGATGGACTTTGTATTAGACTGTCTGTTTTCAATAGATTCTTAAAAAAAAAAAACAACTATAAATCATCACTGTTTCGTGAGTTCAGAATAGAAACCCACTTAACCAAGTATTTGACAGGATAAATTAATACTATACTGTGTGTGTCTTTGAAAACTGTTTGTACGAACCAAAAAGTGAATGAATGTGTCGTTGATAACAGATATACCACTGTTCATATTTGGATGTAGACTGTGTTCCATTGACATCAGAGGAGTCGAGCATCATGGAAATGGATTATAATTCTTGTCAAAGTAGGGTCAAATAAACCATCCATATTTTTCTAAACAGTCAAGAGATGTGTGTGTCGTGTCGGTGTGTTTCTTACTGCTTTTTCTAAAAAGTCAAGACGGATTCTGTGAGTGTTTATTACACATCGACGAGCTGACAGGGCGAAATGGTGAATATGGTTTTCAAAGAACCTGATATTGACTGTTGGTGAGAGAAAAACACGAAAAACAAACACAAACTTTTAAATAAATAAATAAATATATATATATCGTATAAAGTCAAACTGAATTCAGGCCTGATGCTTGGCCACCAGCTGATCACGCCTCCTCCTTACTGTATGTGCTTGGGTGGTGTTGATTTAACTGAGGCTGCATCCACTTTAATATGTTTTAGTTTCAAAACATTTGGAGTTTTCAGCCCCTGAAACACAGACTTTTAGAAACACTACTGACCCCTTTTATTTTGAAAACCCTGAGCTTGTGTTGTGAGACTTTTAGAAACGATGACGTCACACCCGCCTCGCCTCCTGATTGGCTCTCATCAGCCTGGACTACCACTGGTGAAAACAACATGACCATGATATACAGGGTTACTGACCTAAAGTTTATCAGTACATTAATGAATACATTACCTGGTATAGGATCAGTGTTTTTGCTAGCAGCAGCTTTTCAGATAAATTTCTGTAGAATAGAAAATCCACTTCAAAATACAACAAATACAAACGTGAAGCGACTGCACATCCAAAACACTCCAGTCTTAGTCTATAGACATGTACTGAGCTGCAGATTGAATCTGACTGAGAAGTGAGTCTTTCTCTGATGTTTAGGTTTCATAAAATCACAGTCCACAAACTGAATCTGAGTCTCCCCACACATTTAGTTGAACTCATGTGATCACATGATTAATTATACATATGGTTGCCTGGACACAAAGTCTGTCACTTCTACACACAAATCTCTGCATCCTGTTTCTGCTCAGATTTTATTCTGAAAGTCTCGACCAGAAGTTGTGATTAGCATCTTTCCGCCGCTTTGACACTTGTGCTGCTTCGCCAAACTCAGCGAGGCAGAACCAGCTGCAGTTAGCGTGCTAGCTGTTTAAGAGCTAACATGGTCTGGTTAGCAGAGCCTGAACTTTTCACATTAAATATCTAATTATAGAAACTTTTAATGAGTCAATCTGTACAACTCTGAAAAGTAGATCATATGACAAAGTCAGATCCTCAGATCGCCAAGACCAAGATGAAAAACATTTCTTTTAATTCATTATGAGTTTAACTTGTAAACATAAACGTGTTGTAAACTTGTACCTCAGTGGTAAACTGGCCCTAATGTCAAACTGATGACTTGTTGTTTCTCGAACGCAAGACAAGAAACACACATAAAGACACATTTCATAAAAAAGAAAAAAAACATACCCAGGTCATCTGGGTATTATTGATCCAGCTGCGATCTGCTAACAAGACTTAAAGGTTAACACTAACCCCATAAATAAGAAATAAATAATATAATAATAAAATAAAGACCCATTAGACCTGTTTTTTTTTTCAGAAATATTAATGTATCCACGTCATCTGCTTTTATTTTGAAAGCCACAGTGACAGAGAGACAGGATGTCACACGTGCACCGTTACATCGCTTGTCGAGGCACAAGAAACGACGGCGATATTCAACCACGACGTCCGACTCACTCTCACTTTTCAACCAACTTCAGCGTTGACATCTACACGTGCTCTGACCTCACTTACAGGAAGTCCACCAATCTGAAACACGAGGCTGTAGTTTCAGTGTAAAATGGTAAAATTACAGGTCATGATGACTGTGGTGAGTCTCTGACAGAAAAACCATGTGTACACACTTTATACATCTCCGGCTCAGAGCCACGGGTTTCTACAGATTTATAAAACAAAGCTGGGGGCGTGCAGATTGAAAAGCAAGGGGATGCACAAAAAGGGTGTACAGCTGCATGATGGGAAGTGTAGTTTGACCCACAGGGACTAAAAGGATATGTTGAGCTCTGCTGCTGCTACACATCATCTGACAGTACGTCACGTCTCTGACCGACAGCCTCAGCACCATGTACGGCGCCGCCATTAGCCGGGGCCGTGCTTCAATCTGACATCTGAATTAATATGGTTGACTCTGATACTGGTCAGTGCAATTTCAGACCTGCTTTAAATTCATGGAGGTCCATGGGTGTGAACGACAATTCTCGCAGCAAACAACGGAGCCTGCAATTCCACTCCTCCACAAACACACCAGAGAAAAAAAGGGAGAGGAGAAGAAAAAGAAAAGCAGAATAAGTTTGGGTTTCCAATTTACACTGATCCTCTAGCCCATCACCATTTAAATGAAAATATGAGTCTGCAATCAAACAGAATCTATGTACGGGAGAGCAGCTGAAGCGTGAGAGGCAAGATGGCAGCTGGAGGAAACTGACCGGGAACAGGGCTTTCCATTAAATAATCAGCAGCTTTCCACATCTCATAAGACACAACAATGTATTTCATTACCGCCTCCTCCACTTTTAATACAAACACGATGCAGGGGCAGATGGCTTATTGTGCTGCTTAAAAATTTAGCTTGCACTCTGTTTCCTTCTCCGTTCGTCTGGTTTCTGGTCTCCACTTGAAATACAAAAGTGAAGTTTCCCAGTGACATTCAGAGAAGATGCAGCTCGTTATGACCTCAATTTTATCTAGAAAATCTTTTAAAATGAGAAGCATTTGTTCCACTGTGAGACAAACATTTTTTTTTTTACCTCGCAAAAGGTCAGAAGACGATGATAGCGGTTCGTCCGGACACACAGGCGTCTGCAGTTTAGTTCAAGTGCATCATTTCTTCTGTCTCTTGAGCTCAGGCGTCAAACGTTTGTCTCTTTCACTTTCTCTTTACTTCCTCAACCACTTCTACCTGCTGCACTTCAGAAAGCTCCATCTCTTTACTGCCACACACACACACACACACACGCGACTCGTATCATAAAGTGCCAATTGACATAAGAAAGCATAGGTGCAGGACGGACGTCGTCCTCCGTCAGCTCCAGTGTCTCGAGAAGTGAATCACTCTGGCCCCACAGAAGAGGAATGAACCTGAGCAGAGGCTGCAAACTAAACCGGAGTTAGCTCACTTCAGCCAGAGCTTTGGTTTCAGCAGAGGAGGCCACACAGCGACATAAAAAACCTCTATACAATCTAGGGCTGGACAATTAATTGAAATATAATCAAAATCGGAATATGACCAAGTGCAATATCTAGATGACAGGAGCTGCAGTTTTTTTGATGAAGGTAAAATGTGCATTGTTAGCACCATAAGCTCCGGCCTACAGATCACATTCTCCAGACCTAAAGGAAACATCACAAAAATCACATCATCATCATTTTTATATATTTTTTAAATCTCAATATAATCCATATAACCTGATAACAAAAAGTGATTTTTATAATAATCTAAAATGCTACTAATGTATGCTAATGTCCAATTCTAGTTTTTAATCACTGTAAATAAAACTATAGCTGACATGAGAGGGTGGAAGAACGTTTTTCAGCCCTTAGAAAAAAGTCTCCAGGTCCAATGAAGCTCCAGCAAAGCAGGACAGACTGTCCGCTGCCTGAGAGGCAAAACCCAGGGCAGGAAAGTCCTCAAGTCACCTGCTGCACCAACAGCTCCTGTAACTGAAGGTAACTCAGAGGAGAGACATGTCCCCCTGTCCCCAGTGGAAATCACATCCTTGTACCTCAACACTGAGTTGAGTTGATTGTCCCCTGAGCCTGACCATGAACACATCCTGTTCTGTCATGCTGCTCATTCCACCTTAAAACTACAGAGGAGCAGTGATGTCACAGGAAAGGTAATAAAGCATTTCCTTCATT